AATGAGTATTGATTTTAAGTAATGGGATACACAGAGGTCACAGGAAGGTCAGAAAATATGTAAATTTCCGAATTTTCTCATTTTTATGCAAATTTTAATCAATTTTACAGCACATTTTCTTTCAGAAAACATAGAGCACAAGCTTGCCTATCTACCAAATTTATATATTTCATACACTAGCATCAGATGCATCTTGTGTATAAAAATCTCAGATAGGCAAGCTTGTGCTCTATGTTTTCTGAAGTGAAAAGTATATCAAATTTGACGAAATTCCACCAGAATTGAGGAAATTCGGGAAAACTTCCTACTTCTGCACCCTCTTTGGCCTCCGTGTAAGCTTTGAATCAAAATTAGTCCTGGTTTTAAAACAAGCATCAATTTAAGTTCTTAACTACAAACTATCACAGTTTTAACTGTGTTCTGATTTTGACATCAAATAAGGGGCCAGATTCAGCGGTTACCATACCTTGTCCGGTATAGTTATTTAAACTTCTACTCTTAAAATCACTTATAGAATCATTTTCCAATTGTTTGTGAACAGTCTGCATTTTTTTTTTAGTAAGTGTGTTCCAAAAAAGAGAGTCCCCTTGAGAAATTCTCATAATTTGTAATAAATGAAATGTGAAGATAACGAACAGTAAACAAGCTAAAAAAATCTTAATAAGCATTGAGAGCAGAGAAAAATTAACCCCTAGAAATATGAGAGGTGTGATAAGGTGCCGTTAAAGAGTAAGCATCCCCTGTCGACAGGTCACCCCCACCATAACTTTTGCCTTAATCGAATAAATGGAGTAATCTGGAGACAAATCAGTGTGAAAATAATGGCCTGACAATTTGTATTAAAAACGTTAGTCAACATTCGACCTTATGACCGTTTTTTAAAAGAAATGTCATTGCGAACAACAGAATTTGTGAATAAACGAGATTGTTGATACCCTTATTTCTTAGTTGTTTCCTCGGTTTAAAAATCTATGTCTGTCTATACTAAATATGGAGATAACGAACAGTAATCAAGCTCAAAAGTCCATAGAAAAAATACAAATCAGAAGGAGAGCAGATATGGACCCCTAAAAACACCAGAGGTGGGATCAGATGCTATGGAGGAGTAAGCATCTCCTGCCGACCGGTTACACCCGCCCTGTGCTCCTTGTTATGATCAGGAAAACGGAAAAATCCGTAGACAATTCAATGTGTAAATAATTGCCTAACAATTAGTATGAAAAACGTTAGTCAGCATTCGACATAATGATAGATTGTATTTGCTGATAAGTTCACTGTATCGACCATAGAACTTGCGAAATGATGACTTAAAACAAGTCTGTTGATATTCTTGTTTCATCAACTTGTTTGTCAATAGCTTGTCTCGTTTCAGAAATTGTCCGTACGTAAAGCATGCTCTTGCATATCGAATCAACTGGGAGACATGAACCCCATATGCAAGTGATAAGGGTATATTGTTACTTAAGTAAGGAAATTTAACGATAGAAAAGTTACAGTCATCAAGTTTATCATAAAGCTTTGTTGTTAGGTTACAATTAATTTATATCTTTTTCTATTAAAATATCCAAATATGAAACAAATGTGTCAGACTCTGCGGTATCTTTTATTTCAAGTTCACTGGGATATATCGAGTCTACATAATAATGGAAGTAACTATTGCTAATTGATAATACGTCGTCGGTATATCTAAATGTCAAGTTGAAGGACACAGCAAGTGTTTTCTCCTTCTCATGTACAAGTTTTTGAATGAAATATGGAGATAACGAACAGTATTCAAGCTCATAAGTCCATTCAAACAATACAAATCAGGAGAAGAGCAAACACGGACCTCTAAAACATCAGAAGTGGGATCAGGTGCCATGGAGAAGTGAGCATCCCCTGCCGACCGGTCACGCCCGCCATGTGCTCCTTGTCATGATCGGGGGGAAAACACGGAAAAATCAGTGTGTAAATACTGGCCTAACATAGTATGAAAAACATCAGTCAACATTCGACTTAATGATGACAGATAGATTGTATATGCTGACAAGTTCATTGTATCGACCATCAAAGTTCCAATATGATGACTTTAAACGAGACTGATGATATTATTGTTTCATGAACTTGTTTGTCAATAGCTTGTCTCGTTTAAAAAATCGTTCGTACGTAGAGCATGCTCTTGCGTATCGAATCAACTGAGAGACATAAACCCCAAATGCATGTGATAAGGGTACCGTTATTATGTTATGTTATGTTAGTATATTGCTACAAAAGTAAGGAAAGTTGACGATTGAAAAGTTGAAGTCATCACGTTTATCATAAAGCTTTGTTGTTAGGTTACCATTAATGTCTTTTTTTTAGTAAACATGAAGCAGATGCGTTAAACTCTTTGGTATCTTTTATTTCAAGCTCACTGGGATATATCGAGTCGACATATGAATGGAAGTAACTATAATTGTTCATGAAGGCCACAGTAAATGTTTTCTTCTTCTCATGTAAAAGATTTTGAATAAATTCAAAAATAGCTACATATGAATACAAAAACAAGTCTGCTAATAATGGGGCGCAATTGGTACCCATAATTCCGAGAGATTGTTGGAAGACCTGGTCTCCAAAAACCACATAGATACTGTCAATCAAAAACACAAGCATCTTTTTAATATCAACTTCAGAGTACTTGTGGGTTATAATCAGAATGTTCTTTTAATAAAATAATTTAGTAAATGACCAATGACAAGCTAAGTACATTTACGAGTTCCATTTTTATTGAAAAAGCAGCTGTCTATGATGTCAAAAAGCCTGGATTTTAATTAATCATAGGGAATGGTTGTATAAAGTGTTGAAAAGACGTATGTTTTGATGTTATTGATATTAGTAAAATTTTGTGTTTTCAATTTTTTAATAGAATGATATCGCTAAAAATTATGATTTAATTCATTTTAGTTTTAGCAAAGTTTCACGTAATATCATAACTAAAATTGTAAATATTTAGTTCTTACACAACAATTAAGCACTGATTCATTTTTGTCACAACACGATCGCTCTCCTATAGATAAAGAAATTTGTATAGGTCATAAGGTCACATTCAGATCACTAGGAATCACTCTTTCATTACACAGGCACCTGAAGCGTGAAAAACACATAATCTATTCACCCCCTCCACTTAACTAAAAAAAAACATAAGGAGTTTATTTTCTCGAATATATGTGATTTCTCCGTCAATTCGTCAAAAATACACAAGTTAAGATTGATTGATTAATTATATATTTTTTACGTCAATCAATTGGAGCAACACGAGGAAATCCTTATTATGGTCGTTGATGACGTAATATGGACACTTTAAATGCGCATGTCATCTTGTTAATGTGTTTACAGTTGCAGAGTAATAAAACGGAGTCTCCCCAAATCAAAGAATAAGTTTAGTCACGCTATTTTTTTTTAAATAAAAAGGACAACAACAATGTTAGATGCATTTTACTGGTGTCTTTAATAAAATGAATTAAATGCAAGTGGGATACACAACCTTGTCAATGTAAAGTTTAATCCCCTATTTTCTGTTTAAAGGGATATATGTATACATCTAACAATATATGATTTCTTCTTTTATTTTCCTCAATTCTGAACCACTAGAATCATGAAAAATAGCAATTTACCAAGGGCGATAACTTTATATTTCAACATGACAGCTTCCACCAGTCAGTTCACAAAATATATAACCGAGTAAAAAGTATTTAAAAAAACACATGATAGTATCTTGTGAAATTTAACAATGACTATCAAACAAATGAAATATTCAAAAATTATTCAAAACCTCCTGTCTTTCCCTTTAAAGAAAAAAATATTGCTAAATTTAATAAATTTGTTTGCTCTATTAAATTTGTTATTATTCGGATACATGTAAAGACAGGTCATCTCTACCTTAAACATTAAAAATGTAAATAAAAGCATTGAATTCTTATTTTTTAGATGTGGTCGGTCCTATAACAGCACCTGGCCGTGCCGAAAAATTGAATACCGCGCATTAGCGCGGTATGATAATTTGTCGGCACGGACAGGTGCTGTTATAGGACCGACGACATCCAAAACATAAGAATTCAATGCTTTTGTTTACATTCTCTAATTTTTTCTCTTCATAATTGATAATTTTGTTAAACTTTATTGTGAATTAAGCGCCTTTCAGAACTGATTTGCTAAATAGACGTAAGAGCCATTGTGACGTGGAAGGCCACATAGCGAAAATGAATAGGCTATTGCAATGAAAAAAAATGACAAATTAATTTTAAACGTACAATTGTTATATTTTTACAATAATTTAATTGGGTAATTGTTTTTAATTAAATTGAGCCTAAAGATTATACATTTTGGTGTTCTTAGAGTAGTGAAAATACGTATAGTTACCTTTTATCAAATCCCCCTTTCCTCCTTCCGTAATTCCTTGCTCCACCTCTCAGTTTCAAAACTATTTCCTTTTATTCCTAAGTATCCCCTTTCTCTCCTTTTATTCACCCCATCTCCTTTTTCCATATACTCTCCCTTTCCTCTGATATACTGGATCAAGGCCGTTTATAATAATGTTAGTATATATATTTATGTCCCTGTCTGGATTATCAATCTGTGTTATGAGCACATTTCAGTATTCTCAGTACTTTGATTCTAGAATATATATGAAATATATATGACATTCCGTTGTGTGTTGTTAAAAACATGTAGTTAATGATATGAAATATAAATAAAACTTTAGAGAGAGTTGAGATACAATTAGGCAATTTAAGCTAGAAATAATCTAAAACCCGTCTTTAATCACAGCAAAGAAACTACTTGACACTGGGGTGAAACATCCGCGTTTGGTTTTAGGCACAGTTCACAAGGTAAAATGAATAGTCTTTCGCAAGAAGTAGTCTTAGAATCTTATATATACTGAAATTATTTTGAACCTTAACATGAATAGAAAAATGCCCAAATTATGAAGCTTTATTTCTCTCTAATTAATTTGGGTGTATATAATGTCATCCCATCCCTGACCATTTGGAACCTCTTCCGTTCGGCGACACATGCGTACAGGACGTGGAAGATAGGCGTCAAGAGGGTAAGAGTATATTCAAGGGCGAATCCAATCAGAGGTATATCTTGTGAAGTTAACTCTCATCTGCACATCTAGTGTTAAGCACGTAAACAGATTTGTGATATTTTCTTGAAATCCGTGTTTCATTCATTCATCCTGCCATTGGATTTTTTTCAGGATTTTCTCTGAATTCAGTCGGTACCGATCCAAGTAGATCTATTTTCCTACCTGTCAAAATGTACAGTGCAAGACTAGTTACATGCAGTGCTAGGTGCATGGTAAGTGCATTTTCTATATTTCTGCAATTGGTAAATACCGTTTCCACAAGAAGTCATTTCTCTTGCTTTATCGGTTAACCTTGACAACCCGGCTAACAAAATGAAAGAAGAATGTGACAGTAGACCATGGAATTATTGAATATCATTATTAGTAAGGAATTTGAAGAGAAAAAGAGTTCAACAGTATCGGAGGAAAAGTATTAATAATGATTGCTTTGGGAATGACAAGTTTTGATTTCCAGTAAATGTATAGAAAAAGAAGACCTCTAAAGGTCATTTAAATGACATTTCTGAGCCGGTATCCGAATCTTGTTAACAGTTCGACAATAATAGATACAGAGAAAAATTATAGCTTTTCTTATTTTAAACAGAACGATGTTTGTATTTTGCAAAAATAGTTTGACTCTGTCTCAGATATACGAGACCATAACATGACAAAAACAATCAGGGATGACTTTGTCTTCTTAACTGCAAGGTTGCCTGATGTTTTTATGCACCTGCCATGTAATGGGCGGGATGTAATGCTACTCCTTTCTGTCCATCATTGAGCTCATTTTTATTATGTCTCTTTAAATTTAAATTTATGACTTACAGACGAAGTTATAAGTTAAAGTTTTGTGTTGATTGACTTATTTGGGGAATTACTTTATTGCTTTGCCTGTAAGTGATCAGCATTTTTCTTGCAGGTCAAGTATCTTGTGGTATAGACAACTGATTCCAGAAAACAATTATTGTATTGTGTATGAAAAATAAGAATGATTCAATAGTACAAACAGATTATGATAGTTAAGCATTATAACAGATCATCAGATGAACTGATGAAGGTCAAAGAATTTTTATTTTTAATGAAAGGGTAGAGCTTGCCATTTCAACTATAAAGGCATAGCTGAGTTAAAAAGCAAATTGAGGACTAAAATTCATGCTGTACTGACACATTCCAGTTCTGCACCTGAGCAGGTGCAATGCAATGCACTATATTCCAAACAAACAAATATTGGTCAAGATTGTCACAGGTATTCTTATTATTTTGTTATATTTTCAGAGAAGTGTGACACGCCAAGTAGCAAGACCTTTGAACAATGCAGTGGTAGCTCAGAGATGCGAGGTAAAACTTCATATTTGATCGTCAGAGAGATTGGTGTCTTTCTGAATACCAGCAATTTGTAAATGGTATATGTCTAGAAGAATACAAACAAATACTGAAATTAGAATGCTGATATTTTAACTTGTAGTTTATATTCACATTGTTCATACGAAATTTTGTCAAAAAAAAAGTTAAAGATTGTTATTAAACGTACAAGGGGAAAAAAGGAATTTAGGAGAGTATTTTATGGATAACTGTTAGCTGATATTGTTAAAAAAAATCTTAATTTAATTTTTCCTTGTATACTTTTGTAACCCTGTGTTATGATGTATTTTATAGAAATCCTTTTTGTTTTACAATATGTGAGGTGACAAAGCTCACAATTTTATTTAAAAGTCACAGTAGATTTTGTTGTTCTTGAGGGTCCTGTTGGAGTAGATTCTGCATTTACTCTTTTAGGCAAGATCTTTCAGGACAACTGCAGCTCAACAAGACATTGATCAGGCTGCCAAATACATAGGTGCTGGGGCTGCAGCAGTTGGAGCAGCTGGATCTGGTAAGTGTGGAGCGAATACAGGTGACTCTTGATGGCTTCAACTTTGATCTCGAGAAGCGAGTCTTCCCGATATGATTTAAGCAGATTTACTCTTGGTTTCTCGAACTATGAATCTCGAAAAGCCCTTGATCTCAAGAAGACAAAGTCCTGTAATGTAAATTTTCTATTGTTATTTACCTTCGATAACTTGAATTTATTTGTACAAGTACCTTATTAGCACCTTTACTTTACATACCTTGCTTAGATGAGTGACCCTTGTGTCATGGATGTCACAGCACTTATCAAACAATTTTCACCTGCTCTTAAGATTATTAATACCAACTGTTTGAAGAGTTCAGGAGAAGTGATGATGAAGTAAAATTAATTACACAATGGGACACCAGTTTTGTTTTTGTTTTTTTTGTTTTTTGTTGGTGACTGCCCGTGGTGATTGACACATGTAAATACAACAAACGAAAATGAATGTGCCCCTGTCTATGTAACTAATATTCATATATATTGACACTTTATTCTTTTAAATATTTATGGAATATTCTTTAACTGTATTGATAATTAAATAGTACGAATGGTAATTACTAATACACTTTTGTAATTTTCTTGCAAAAAAATCAATATGATGCCCTTGTAAAAGGATAAATGAATAGAATGACAATATTTTTATTTATGAGTATTCCAGAACTAATTCAAAGGAATATTGTTATAAAAGTACATGTGTATAATTTTAGCACTATTGTGAATGAGAATCAATAAGTTCCAATTAGACTGTCACCAAGTTTAAAACCAGTCAAGTAACATGTAAATTTCCAGACTCTATTGGACTGACAAATAGATTTTTTCAAGCTCTTGCTCACACTTGCCCACAGGCAAATCCTTGGTAAAAAAAAAAATTAGTTGTTCTACCTGTATTTTTACTTGTCCTGCCATAAACTATGAAAAAGCAACAAAACATAGTTCTGGCAATTCTTTTATTTTTGTTCTATATCATGTTCATCATATGGTAATGAATGAGAATTCAATTCAGAAAAGTTTGCATCCCGGATAGAATGCATTATTTTGGACGGTGACAACAGTTGAAAACTCCTTGCAGTAGACACTGTACATTCATAACTTTCTCGATATAGTTGTACTTTACCCATGGCCTTAATTCTTGAGTTTTGTCTAAAATAATTGTTTCCGTTTTATTTTCTCATACTTGTATATTCCTAGAATGGTTTCTTGGTTCTTTGGCTGATATTGCTATTGACCTTGCTGTTATCATCAGCTTCTCATTGCTTCATTTTGTATTCAGTTAAACTTTATTCATCTTTGTCACTTTTAATTAATGCAAACACTCAATAACCCACAGTTAAACTGTTTTGCATATGTTTAGACAAACAAAGGAAGATAACTCTCAATACAAAATAATTTTAATTTTAGTCCAGACTTATTTAAAAAACAAAAAAAAAATATATTGGGTTTTTTTTCTTGAAGTCAATTGCCCACAGACAAGTGCTCATTGAAAATTCACTTGCCCACCCTAAAATTCACTAGCCCCAGGTGTCAGGAAATGGGATTTGTCAGTCCCTGAAAGTTGAATTGATCAAAGTTATGCCTTGATATATACTTCGAGTTGTCTCGAGTCACCTGTAATTCAACTATTTTTAGCTCACCTGAGCCGAAGGCTCAAGTGAGCTTTTCTGATCACATTTTGTCCGTCGTCCGTCCGTCCGTCTGTCTTTCCGTCCGTCTGTAAACTTTTCACATTTTTGACTTCTTCTCAAGAACCACTGGGCCAATTTTGACCAAACTTGGTACAAAGCATCCTTGGGTGAAGGGGAATTTAAATTGTTAAGATGAAGGGCCAAGTCCCCTCACAAGGGGAGATAATCAAGAGAAGACAAAAATAGGGTGGGGTCATTAAAAAATCTTCTTCTCAAGAACCACAGGGCCAGTAAAGCTGAAACTTATATGGAAGCATCCTGGGATAGTGTAGATTCTAAATTGTTCAAATCATGACCCCCGGGGGTAGGGCGGGGCCACAATGTGGAATAAATGTTTTACATAGAAATATATAGGAAAAATCTTTAAAAATCTTCTTCTCAAGAACCACTAGGCCAGAAAAGCTGAAACTTATGTGGAAGCATCCTGGGATAGTGTAGATTCTAAATTGTAAAAATCCTGACCTCCGGGGGTAGGGCGGGGCCACAATAGGAAATCCAAGTTTTACATTGAAATATATAGGAAAAATCTTTAAAAATCTTCTTCTCAAGAACCACTGGACCAGAAAAGCTGAAACTTATGTGGAAGCATCCTGGGGTAGTGTAGATTCTAAATTGTTCAAATCATGACCCCCGGGGGTAGGGCGGGGCCACAATAGGGAATCCAAGTTTTACATTGAAATATATAGAAAAAATCTTTAAAAATCTTTTTCTCAAGAACCACTGGACCAGAAAAGCTGAAACTTATGTGGAAGCATCCTGGGGTAGTGTAGATTCTAAATTGTTCAAATCATGACCCCCGGGGGTAGGGCGGGGCCACAATAGGGAATCCAAGTTTTACATTGAAATATATAGGAAAAATCTTTAAAAATCTTCTTCTCAAGAACCACTGGACCAGAAAAACTGAAACTTATGTGGAAGCATCCTGGGGTAGTGTAGATTCTAAATTGCTCAAATCATGGCCCCTGGGGGGAGGGTGGGGCCACAATAGGTATTACAAGGGGGGAGTCTGGTAATGAACAGCATGGCCAAAGTTACTCAGGTGAGCGATGTGGCCCATGGGCCTCTTGTTTTTATTCATGTAGACATTATGATAATGTCATGAGGAAGGAAAATCAAATGTGAATGTTTAGCTAAAAATACCCTCAATATAGCATTTCAAATTTGTTGATAATTACAAGGCTACTCATTGTCAAGTTAATTTGGAAACAACTAAGTATAGTGTAGATTTAAATTGAGATCACTGTTAATTTGGAAACAACTAAGTATTATGTAGATTTAAATTGAGATCACTGTTCCTAATCAAAGAGGGAACAACTGGATAAGAGTTTTAGGTAAATACAGATATTATTTAGAAATATCTTATATATAGGTAATACATGATGAAAAAAAAATTCTTTCCAAAAAATTTCAGTTTATTGTCAAATGTGTAGAGAATTAGGGAAAATTTGGCAAATGAGGCAACTAGATTATCATGTTTTAGAAATATATTTACAGGATTTTTTTATTCATCTTGATTTAGAATTTATATTGCAGTGCATATTTAAATTTACTTTAAATCATGGAACATGTGAAGAAACAAGGTCACAGTACATGTATTATAGGGTGATGTATATTAAAAGATTTTCTCCAAAATCAATTCAGGCTTTTTCTTTCCTCATATAATAAATGTAGTCCTTTTATTTTTTATTTTTTTTTTTTCAGGGTCTGGTATTGGCACAGTGTTTGGCAGTTTGATTATAGGCTACGCCAGGAATCCATCTCTAAAAAATAATTTATTTACATATGCTGTACTAGGATTTGCCTTGTCAGAAGCTATGGGTCTATTTTGTTTCCTGTTGGCAGCTGGTATTTTGTTTGCGTTCTAATTTACAAAGTTTTTGAGTGAACTTCAGAAAAAAAAAGCAACAAAGAATTTGTTTTACTGACAAAAAGACTATTAAACTAGACCAAGTTTGTGAATATTGGATGTACTGACCTGAAATAAAGGAAAAAAAGGAATTTATTTATTTATTTTTCTTTTTACTTTATACCCTTTTAGGATTTGGAAGGAAGTTTTAACAAGGTATTGTATGTTTATGCCATGTGTGACAGGGGGTTTCCTAGCTTGTTTTGGGTCCAGTTACAGGACCCATTCCAAATCCAAAAATCACCCCATTGTTTCCCAAGGTTAATTCTTTTTTTATCAAGGTACTTAAAAGTATTATTAAAGAGTTTCAGAAAGAAAGGAAAACATGACCTCTGTGTGGTATGGTGGGGCCACAATAGGTGATCAAAGTTATACAGAGGAATGTACAGGAAAAATCTAGTGACAGGGATGTGGATTGTGGCCAAAAATCCAAGGAAATCTGATGAAGGAAATGCATTATATTTGCATGAATGTTTACTTATGGAAATAGATATAGAAAAGAGGCATCACTCTTTAAATCCATCCAGCGGTTTGCTGAGATAATTGGAAGAAATTGCCCATCTTTCATGATAACTTAACATTTTTAGCTCACCTCAGCTGAAGGCTCAAGTGAGCATTTCAGAAGGCATTTTGTCCAGCGTCCATCTCAGTTTGTGAACTTTTTACATTTTCAACTCAAGAACCACTGATCAAAGTTTTACATAGTATATATGTAGGAAAAAATGTAATTTATATAAATTAGTGAAAAATTAAGGGCATCTTTTAAAAATCTTCTCAAGAACCACTAGCCCAGAAAAGATGAAATTATGAGGAGCCATCCTCGAGTAGTGTAGATTCAAGTTCAAATCTTGAGACCCCCCCCCTCCAGGAGTAGGGTGGTGCCACAGTAGGCAGTGAAATTTTTACATAGGAGTATATTTGGGAAAACCTTAAAATTCTTCTCAAGAACCAAAGACTAGAAGAGTTGAAACTTAAAACTTCATTAAATTGTGTGCATAGAGTAAAATCAATTTTCAAATAATGACCCCCAAGGGTTGGGTTGGGACACAGTGGGGGATCAAAGGAATATATAGGAAAATACTTCTGAAGAAAAACGGCAAAGGCATGATTAGTAATGCTGATATGGAAGCATTCTCAAATCGTAACCCCAGGGATAGGATGGGGCCACAATAGGCAATCAAAGTTTTACATAAGGAATATACATGCACAGGAAAAAAATCTTTTCAAGAACTACCTGAACAGAATAGTCAATAAACTGAAGTGAAAGATTCATTAAATAGTGTAGATTCAAGTTTGTTCAAATCATGACCCACAGGGTTAGGATGGGTGGTCAAAGGGTGCAAATTAGGATTATACAGGGGAAATCTGATGAAGAAGGGCAGCAAAGGCATTAGTCGTATATAATTTAAGAGATGAATTTAATTTTTAAGAATTCATGAGGACAAGAACTACGACGCTTCATGCCGGCATATTTCATGAAGCATGTTAGCGCTTCATGATAAATAGATTCTCAAAAATTTAAATTCATGTCTTACATTTACATTATTTTTATGATGACGTGCCCACATATTTTTGTCATTTAACGATCATTTTTGACAAAAAAAAATTTTTTTTGACTTCAGTCACATCACAATGGATATATTCTTATACTCATCCCACACCATCATACAAATCTCTTAGAGAAAATTTACCACAGAAATTTCAACAAAATTGAAATTTCCTCTTTTTATCAAGGGGAAATAACTCTTCAATAACGTTTAAGATGCAAAATGGACGGCTACTTATGTGAATTTGGTTCATTTCACTTTCATCATTATCTAGTTATGCATATTTAACTGGTTTAAAATAATTCAAAATTGCTCGATATGCATTCATTATACATTGAATACCTTAAAGCAATATGAGCAGCAACTTTGATGTCCGAAATTTTTTTGCAATGCTGTAATTAACTACCGGTATTTCAATGACAGAAGAAAACAAGGTATATAAACTTCTATTGTTTATATTTCCAATGGAACAACTATTCAGAAGCTTTGATTGAAGCAAATTTACATTATTGTCGTCCTGTACAATATTGATGTCTTGTATAATACTATACGTTGTACTTTCTTCTGGAAAAAATTAATACTTTATATCAGTCTAATTGATCATTAAGGTTTATATTACATACAGATTTATCATAACAGCACATTTTAACAGCAAAATAAAATTCTCAAAAATGCAGCTCATATTGCTTCAAGGAAAAATATTTAGAAATGGAAATATATTGATATGGAAGCATTCTCAGATAGTGTAGATTCAACTTTGTTCAAATCATGGGCCCTAGAAAAAGGTAGAACACAACAGATGGTCAGTATTACATAGGAATATATAAGGAAAAAATCTGATGATGAACTGTAGAGCCGTAGTGACTCAGGTGAGCATTGTGACCCACGGGCCTCTTGATTTAATCATACTGTAATTTCACAAATTATTTTTTCACATACCGGTAGATGATATCAATTTGTGTTATTATGGAATTGTTAGCTTTTTAAAATAACAGTGAATACAGAGTAAAGGAAAGGAAAAAAAAAACATTTTTATTCTTTAATGTAGCAAAATGTGTAATGATAAGAGTTATGCCCCTTTCTATAGTAAATGATGTTTTTCTCTCTTCTGATTTTGGTCCATTTTTACCACACATATTTTGTGAGGTATAGAGTTTATTTATAAATAATTTCTGTTGCAATTATAATTCTATATTAAACAAGATGCGTTTGCGAAAAAACTGATGCCCCCGTATGGCAGCTTATGGCGAATGTTAAAGTTTCTCAAATGCAAGTCAAACTCCAGGCCAAGAGATCAAAAATGTTGGTACCCAATGAAAGGTCTTGTCTCGAGGAATATACCTGTGAAATTTGAAAGCCCTAGCTCCAACTGTCTAAAAGTTATAGCGAATGTGAAAGGTTTTTAAAAGTAAGTAAAATGTCAAGGTCAAAAGGTCAAAGTTGTTGGTATCCAAAGGAAGGTTTTGTCACAAGGAATACACATGTGAAGATTGAAACCCCAAGAACCAACTGTTGAAAAGTTATGGCCAAGGTAAAAGTCTCATAAAATTTTGCAAAAGTGGGTCAAACTCCAAGGTCAAAAGGTCAAATACAATGTATGATGGTACCCAAAGAAAGATCTTGTCACAAGGAATACACATGTGAAATATGAAAGTCATAGCTCCAACCAATCAAAAGTTATGGGCAAGGTTAAAGGTTTTGCGGACAAAACAGATAGACAGACGGACAGGGCAAAAACTATATAACCTCGAATCTTCGATACGGGGGCATAAAAATAGTTTTGTTTTACAATAAGTGAATTTGAACATACATTATGCTAAAAATTAGACCTCACACTTTCATAATTTTATAAATTAAATTGGGAAAAATAATAGTTACTTCACTTACTCGGAGGACAACATATAGTGTTCTATGCATTCCAATTTTGACTATGGCACAACAAACCAAATTCGATGCGTATTGTATAATACCTGTATTTGAAATGTACTTTGAAGTGTTCAATATGATATGGGTTAAAGTCAGACGACACGTTCCTCAATAATATATAATTTTTCCCAAAATTTGTCAGTGAAGAATTGCTACTTTAAATAGCAAGTTTTCTCACAAAAAATGAGGTGCCTTACCAGGTATATGTGCAAGATACCAGAGGATTGTGTTTCTTATACATGTATTATACAATGGAAATTGTTATCATCACCAATATCTCAATTGTTCGTGTATTTATCTTTTAATTAACACATGTTGAAAACACTCTAGAAATCCCAGGATAACGATAATTCTGATTAATTTCTTGTATATTACGAAGAAATAGAAAGCAGATAATTGAGGAACGTGTCATCAAACCTTATGTGATAGGTAACACCATTCTGAGTTAACTTTCAGTAATTTATCACATCAATTTTAGACTTGCCTGGTTCATTTTACTTCACCCAAAAAGGTAATTTTGCTCAGTTTAGATGGGTCTGATCTAAATATATTTATTACATAACCTTGACTGGAGTAATACATTTAACCTGAGCGAGTTTTACTTCGGAAATTAAAAGATAATTCTAACATCAGTTACCTGTCCTGCTTTCAAACTTGTTTTTCCTCTGGGCACATTAGGCAAACATAGACAGACCGCATTAAATAAAAAACAGAAGAAAAGTTAAATGTCTTCTTGTTTTAAAACTTAAAAGGGACTAGAAATATGTCTATAGAACATGAATGTCCCACCCAAGGTTCATTGGTAATGCAATATGAAAATTTGTATTAGTGAATTAAGTTTGATAAATGTCTTGAATATAGTTCCTTATTAATTGAGTTTTATACACAATAAATACTAGTAGTAAAGTCAAAGATGATTATGAAGGTCAAGGGAAAAAAAAATGTGGATGCAGTTGATAAATTCTCACCAGTGATGTATCAATGCTGCCACTGCAGAAGCTTAGTAATACATAAAAATATCTTGAATAATTTCTTTGTAACTAAGCTAAATGCAGAACAAAGAAAATTTCCGTGATGTTACTATTCTATAAGTTTTACAGATAATCCGTTTCCTCGCAGATGGCCCTCGTCTGATAGAGTCTCTATCATTTTTACAAACAAACGCACGACTCGGTTTTGACATATTATCTCTTCCTCAAGCATTTTTTCCCAAGTACAACACAAAATTGTATCGTTAGTTGCTGTTCGATGACGTTTATTTTTTTGTCATTTTCAATGAGGACTACCTATCTTCTGGAATGGGTTTCTTTGCAACGAAACAAAATATTGTCATACTTTGAAATATGAAAATCAAAAGATGTAACAATTCTTAATCTGAATTTCTAGGATTTTTTTTCTCTCTCTCTTCTTTTCTTAATTTCTTTCTTTTTTGTTTTGTTTTTTTACTATTTTACAGAGACCTGACTACAAACATTATTTATATAGAGTACTGTTTGTGAATTACTAATTTTTTACCTGCTCTGCAAGCCCATTAATTTTCGCAGTTTTTCTGAATCGGACGGCCGGCTGGCTCGACGGCTTTCACCGACCGTGCGCCGAGCTGGTCGAGGTAAGATTGAAATATATCGCGATAATTTTGAAATTTTTAATACACATCATTTAAATTTATTCTTTAAACATGTCCACCAAAACATGGATATAATATGATGTTAAGTAATAAAAAGTTATGACAGAAGTCCGCGAACTTTCCGTACAACCCTTGTATGTTAACATATGTCATGTTAAGAAATTAACGAAAACTTGGAAGTGAATATCGCATATTATTGCAGGATGTTGATGAAATTGAAATGACTGAAATTGTGCTATCTTCTGTAAGTCGTACCTTTGTTATTTAATACATCAAAATGTAAGCCAAAATCTGCAAGTTAAGAATTAGTTTCATATTTGGATGTTTCATTCGTGAAAGACATTGATGGCAAACTTATAAGTAGACTCTCTGACAACTGGATGATTTCAACTTTTCTATCATCAATCTTCTAGGAAGCAATATAATACATGTACCATTATCACCTGCGTATAGTGTTTCTGTCTTCCAATTGATAAGGTACGCAAGATCATATTCTACGTAGAAACATTTTCTAAACCGAGACAGGCTACAGACAAATAAGTTGACGATAGAATGATCTCAACAATCTCGTTAAAGCCAATACTATTATATAATTTTGCAAATTCTAAGGTCGATACAATGGCCTTGTTTGCAAAAAAACAACCTATCCTTAGGTCGCATGTTGACTGACATTTTTGTTTTGAAAGCTGTTGGGTCATTTTATTTTCATACTGAATTGATTATTCCGTTAAAGGCTCACGGTGTGATTGGTCAACAGGGGATGCTTGAACTCATCCATGGCACCTAGCTGATCCACCTCTGATGTTTTCAGGGATTTCCGTGTTTGCTCTGCTCTCGATTTGAATTGTTTAATATTATTGGATTTCTGAGCCTGATTACTGTTTGTTATCTACACATTTCATTATGTAAAAGCTTACCGACATAGTGTATAGATTCAGTTGGTTTACATCATATATACGGAATAAGTACAGGTGTCGCTCAGGCTAGAATGCACCTGTTTTCTACCCTGAAGTTTCCAATTGTATAATAATACATTTAATAATAGTACATGGTGGTATTTGTACCCACTTGAAAATAAATATAAATGTTAGGAAGACGGCAAATCTGTGTCGTGTCACTATGTCATGTGAACCTCAGATATCGAAATCTACTTGTACGCCCTCTCAGAATTTCCATCATGCTCGACATGTTTGTCGCGACTGGGGCTTGAACAATTATGTTTTAAAGTGTTTTGTTAGTCCAGTCATCGTCTCAAGCCACGGTCCGGAGTCCACATATAGCTCTCCAGAATGGGAGAGGATCCTATATTTTAGCCTTGGTTAGCGACGGTGGTTCACAGGATACAGCTGGGACTGACACTGACATCTGACAACTGTACAATATCATATTCATCCATATTTTAAAAAAAAATCTACTTATTAATCAATTTTTACCATGTATGATATTGAAATTGTCTTTCCTCCGACATATTTTACATGCAGAGATGTATGCCCAAAATCCAGAATGTACAACACTTGAACCTTGTCTCTAGAATACTCCATGTTCAAAGGCTTGTGTCCGGGCTTTATACATTTTTGGAGTAGTTCTGAATTGCCTTCACCATCTTCTTTATCGATCCTAGGTTACATCTTTTATGTTTTTTACATGCACACGTGCTTTGCATTTTATTACATTATAATATTAAACCTTGAAGCAGTTTCTATCCCAAAACGTTTACACTGGTATATGTATAATAATACCTTACAGCACAAAATAAATTTGAGTTACATGTATTAACAAATAAAAATTAAACACCAATCTAGGCTCAGTTCTCTGCGGCATTAGCTCGAAACCAATTGTGTATTTAGGAAGGTAGAACAGACACAGTTTTGAAACAAGATGTGTTTGTGAAACATTGATACTCAGTACCCCCGTATGACAACTTATAACGAAGGTTAAACTTTCTCAAATGAAAATCAAATATGTTGGTACCCAAAGTAAGGTCTTGTCCAAAGGAATATACCTGTGAAATGTGAAAGTCCTAGCAGCAACCATTGAAAAGATATGGAAAGGTTAAGGTTTTTTAAAAGTAAGTCAACATCAAGGTCAAATGGTCAAAATTAATGGTGCCCAAGGAAGGGCCTTCTCACAGGAAATACACATGTGAAATATGGAAGCCCTAGCACCAATCCTTCAAAAGATATGGCCAAGGTTTAAGTTTTTCAAAAGTAGGTCAAACTCCTAGGTCAAGGTCAAAGTTGTTGGTATCTAAAGGAAGGTCTTGTCACATAGATTACACATGTGAAGTATGAAAGCCCTAGCATCTACTGTTCAAAAGTTATGGCCAAGAGTTGAGTAAAATTTTGCAAAACTCAAGGTCAAGGTCAAAAAGTCAAAGTTGATGGTACCCAAAGAGGTCTTGTCACAATGAATACACATGTGAAATATGAAAGCTATAGCTCCGACCAATCAAAAGTTGTGAGCAATGTTAAAGTTTTTGCGGACAAACAGACAAATAGATAAACAGACGGTCCGACAGGGCAAAAACTATATACCACCGAATCTTTGATACGGGGGCACAAAAAAGGAAAATTTTCCCAAGCACGAAAATCCTATTTCTTAAAGGTGCAGTTGGAGGTGTTATTAAAGTCCTACTATTTCTGGGGTTGGGTGTGTGTAAACTCCTAGCTACGTCTATGACAAGAATATTTTAAAAATATTTTAACATGGGAGAATTTGCTTATGCTCCTACAAAAAGTGGGGTGGGGGAGCAACCAGTCTTTCTATGAACATTTCATACAAATTAAAGAACTACGTACAATAACTCTCGATTCCCGCCTACATTTTACACATTTAATTCAATTTTGTCCGCTTTTTTACATGCAACGCAGGGTTCATTAGTAATTGATTAATAATTCTAGTACCAATGTCAATTTAGTTAATTGCTTTTAATGATAACTTTTGTTACAAGGGGTAGACACTTTTATGCACCATTGAAATTAATGCAAATACATAAACAAAAATAGTATGTTATTTATTCTCTTGTTTATAACTATTAATAAATTGACCATAGGCCCTACTGCAACACAAAAATTGGAGAGGGGGGGGGGGTGGGCAGCTACACGTAATCACAATTAATCTAGGTCTGGGGGATTATGTTCTTGGATTTTGATTGCCTAAAAATCCATTTCTCAAAATAACATCGTAAAAATATCGTAGTTTTTATGGAGAAATTTTTCTTGGTCATGATTTTTTTGTGAAAAGGCCACTGATGATAACTTCAGTCAGGGACCTTAAGATACGGTACGTTTAGTCCCTGCTTTATTCTCACCGAGCTTCCTTGTGACTTAAGACTCCTATGTATTCTGATCAAAATATCGAAATCAGAAATTCACGTATTGCATAAAGAAAGTCCATTCAACAAGACTGTTCAATGAAAGTTCATCAAGTGTGCCCTTATATGCGGAAGTGACGTATTGGAAAAAATAGTGCTGTATTGTTATAAAAATAATTAAAAACTTGAATTGTTTAAAGAGTCTGTTCAATAAAAAATATTTATAACTATTTATTTCTTTAATTATGTGTATTTACATGTTTATGAAAGGAAAATAAAAAGAACAAAAAACCCGCGGAGGAATCGTAAGATAGTCCGGAAGCCATAATAAGTCATACTGGAAATAAACACTCAAGTATTTTCCTTTCTTAAAGTGTTTCGGTTTTATATGAAGAGACCAAGAGTTAATTCAAGAATCAAGAAAAGTTAATTGACGTTCTGTCATGCATACGAATTTCGTACTTGTAGTGGTAATAGGGATTTTTTTGACTTCCCAAACAGAGGGAATTCGACTTGACACAATTCAGGTTGGTTGATTGAAATTTTCTTCATTTTTGCCTTTAGGTATAGTTTTTTAGAACTTTGTATGTATGTACTGTCAGTAATGATTAGGTATAGATCAGATAAATCTATTCGTCTTAAGTAACTCGGTCTAAAATATATGTTGTTTGACCATTTATATATTGTTACTTGGTCATGTTGATGGCATTGCTAACTTCCTAAGCAAACTCCCACTGAGTTTACGATTGGAATTAAGATTGGGGTCTTTGGCACCTCATCGAAAGACAACTAATCGAAAACATTTATTGATGTGACAACTCATAGAAAGTACAAGTCAATGAATGGAAAAGTCATGGAATGGACAGGTCATAAATACAATATTAGCTTTTCAGTGAGGTGAGGAACTTGTACATGTCTGGGTGTGAGACACCGATGGCACATGAAAACCGTCTATGCCACCCTTCAAGAAAGTTATTTGTATGTGGGTCATTTCATTTCATGATTTGTTAATATGCGTTCTGTAACCTGAGACATAAATAACATTGTTAGACTGAGTTGTCATCATCCACAAGACATCTTTCTTTGGGTATCAGGTCCGTTTGCCCTATCTACCTGTTCGCATGAGTCCGTTCATGCAGGGTCCCTTCGCCATTATTCTTCTTCGCCCTATACCCTGTTTGCCATATATCTGGATCGCCCTATCGTAAATAATTTATGTCAACATTATCCTTGAATTTTAAGACTTTTCTTTTTTTACTTAAAAGATCTAATAAGCATATTTCATTTCCCTCAGTATTGACATTTTTTCCAATTTTAGTGTTTATCAAAGACTTAATCGTAAACGTTTAATTGCTGTTAATTTAATACTTAGCGTAAATTAGGGGACACTTTCTTCGTTTGTTTTTATAGCATGTATGTTTAGAAAATAATTGATGAAATTGAGATTGACGTTGATTATGTATATAGGTTATTTTAATATTGGTGATAAGCAGCCTCTGAATAAAAGGTTTATTTTTTTCTTTTTGAGGAATCTTTTATTCTCAATTTAATATAATGTTGAGTTGTATAACATTGCTTAAAAATCAATGAGTATCACGTCGATTATTTAACAGATTTTTTTTTTATTTCTTTATCATGTTTATCTATAGTGAATGTTCAAGTAAAATAAATTGTACTTTAAATGAACATTCATAAAATCCAATAAAATCAAAGAAATTACGAAAAATTAACCAACTAAACATATTATGGGCGAACGTACTGTGGGCAAACAAGTTTTAGAGCAAATGGACTCTAGGCGAACGAGAGTGAGGGCGAACGGCGTCAAGGGCGAATGCGTTTCAGGGCGAACGAACATACAACCCTTTCTTTGATGTCTTTCTTTGACTTGATGCATTGGTGAGTTTAACTTTCGATCATTTGATTTTCAATGAGTTGTTGCATTTGATGAGTTGTCTTTCAACGAGATGCCCAGTACTCTTAAGATTGGTTTTAATGAAGTAAGTACAAACTTGCCTGTTATTTTCAGGTAAAATTTGGTATAATTCATATGTTGTAGTAACAGTCCAGACCATTTCATTCCATATTTCATTTCTGAAATTGGTTTATTTATCATGAATTTTTAAGTTTCAAGACATATTAAGAAATGTCAATTTTTTTGAAGGCCAATTGGGGAGGGTTAGGGGATGATTCCTGCACAATCATGAACATCATTATGGAGAGGTTATGGAGATGTTTCTTCCTTCTGAATCTCCACCACATATCCCAGAATTGTTTAACACCAATTTATATATTATTTCATCACTTAAAACGACTGTTTTAGACTGTCATTTATACTGCTGCAGAGTTGTGGAAAACTTTTTCAGATAGCCAGTCATTTGGACTGGCAAGAAGACAAAATAAGCCAGTCCGAAGCGATCTTTGCCGGTCCGAAATAGAAAGTCTTAAAATTTTTTAAAAAGGCATGACATTTATTTACTTCATTACACCTATGTACTTAATAATATAACATTCAGTCTCCATTTCCAAGTCCTCTTCCGATTTCGTTTTTTGCATTTATAACAATACTAGATTTCACTGCTTTTGGGCAGGTGACAGTGCTAATTCAGCATAGTAAACATAATTAGTCCCCTACCGGTGAAACCAGAGGGTTTCCTCTTAGTCTGTCCGTCCGTCTGTCTGTCCCTCTGTCTGTCAGTCTGTCCCACTTGGTTTTCCGCACTTTTTTTCTAAACGCTTGCAGATATTGAGCTGATTTTTGGTATGTGAGTGTATCTTGATGAGTTACAGATCAAGTTTGCATTTCATTCCGCTTCATTGATTTTTGGTGGAATTATGGCATATTCAATTTTTAACGGGAACCAGATTACACTTGCTGGTAGGGGACTAGTATTGCTAATGCAATACTCTCAGAATGCTTGTTTTTTTTTTTTAAACATTTATGAATTTGGGAATTATATTAACCTAGAAAATGAGTCTAGAAAATTTTAGAAATTCTGTGCATCGATAAAAGATCTCGAAACGATCGATGAAAAAAACGAAATCCGGGACAGACGGAAGTACTAGATTTACTGCTTTCCCAACTGTATTTGAATTCTTTCTGTCAAAATTTCTCATATTTAGCTTGTCTTTATCTGTTTCTTCATGTTTTCTTCTTAATTCTGCCCCAGTTGTAAATTTAATAGGTCACGAGACCATGCTGGTTTCGCTTTCATTTATAGCCTCGATCGTGTATAGAAAACGTATTATGCAATCGTATACAAGGTACCATTATTAAGCTGGGAAGTGCGCCGATGAGAATAGTTTTCCACAACTCTGTGCTGACTGAGGCCTGTGTTTAAAACCATTTTTAAAAAGTCATCATCTAAATAAACTGTTCCTGACAAAAAGTCAAAGTGGAGTAATTAAACTTTAATTTGATAATGTAATCCCTAATCTGATTCAGAATTTCCTAATGTTCCTCCCCAATTTTATAATATTTTAAATAAAAATTGGTTCCCAAATTTATATTATTGTGATTCCAAGGTGTAGTTTGTTATCCACCAGAGCGGCCTGTAAACCTATTAATTAGATTTAATCTTGTCTGAATACATAGCTTTGTAAAATGGTCAAATTTAATCTGATACAAGATGGATAAGAAAAACTTGCCCTATTTCATATAAGATATATACATGTATTAAATATTTCCCAATTAAAAGGATTTAGGACCTATCTCAAAACTCAAAAGAGGACTCAATCATTATCCCTGAGTGATAAATAAGATGCAACCATATTTTGAAATAGGAGTTTCACTGTTAGCTCAGTAAACAGTGTATCCATAAAAAGCAAGGACTAAATGAAATAAATCGAAAAACTATATATATAAAAAATTAGGGATGTGAAACTTGATTACGTCACATAAATTCCAAATTTGTTACCTCAACAAATCTTGTGTACATGTATGTATTTAAATTGTATGTTTTTCAGAGAATTTTATAATTCAAAGAAATAAAATATTTCCCGTAAGAATGATATGTGTTAAATGCAAATTCATAAAATATCGTGTTATTATAGAGAAAAAAATTTATCATCCCAGAATCAGTTAAGGAATTTTACAGTGTACGTGACTCCTAAGAAAATCAAATATTTAAAAACATACATGTAAGGGGTTACTTCACTTGTTTGTTGGAGTAATTTGATAACAACTGTAAACTTCATGACAATAATATTTGAACTATATTGACTATTTTCATCCAGATGGTCCTAGATAAAAATCATGAAAGTCTGCCAAAATTCCAGAATTTTAATTTTTTTTGTGCTCATTTTGGCTTTTAAATTTTGCTTATAGATGATAGGGTCAAGCAGTCAAAACATGGTCCTGTGATGACACATGAGGGAAAATAATTATTTATATACATGTTTGATATGGATTGAACATATTTTGCACAAAATATACTTTGAGAAGAGTCTTAGAAGTCTTTTCTCCCCCACATATACAGGGATCGACATTAACGGTTGTCCGATTGCCCGGGACAAGTAAATCCTCATTTCGGGCAAGTGAAACTGTCAACGTACTTGTCCGATCGGGCAAGTGAATTTTTCTTATAGAAATGTACATATTTAGTCAGTTTACATTAATTCATGTTTAAAACAACAAGCATTCTGAGAGTATTGCATTAGCAATACTAGTCCCCTACCGGCAAGTGTAATCTGGTTCCCGTTAAGAATTGAAAATGCCATAATTCCGTCAGAAATTAATGAAGCGGGACGAAATGCAAACTTGTTTTATAACTAATCAAGCTAAAGCCACATACCAAAAATCAGCTCAATATCTACAAGCGTTTAGAAGAAAATTGCGGAAAACCCGTAAAAATTGAAAAGGCCGTAATTCCGTCAAAAATCAATGAAGCGGAACGAAATGCAAACTTGATCTGTAACTCAGCAAGATACACTCACATACCAAAAATCAGCTCAATATCTGCAAGCGTTTAGGAAAAAAGTGCGGAAAACCAAGTGGGACAGACTGACAGACAGACAGAGGGACAGACAGACAGACAGACGGACAGACAGACAGACGGACGGACGGACAGACTCAGAGGAAACCTATAGTCCCCTCCGGTTTCACCGGTAGGGGACTAATAAACTGAATACTTGATTTCCGCCAGATACCCGACTGACATTGATTTACATTAGGAAATCCTTGGTAGCGTTTCTAGAATATACGGACCATTTAAAAATCGGGTTCATTTTTCTGTTTTCTTTCGTGATAAATACGCTCTACTTATAACTAATTTGTTAACTTCTAATTGGGAAATTCATTCACAGAATATAAGTAACACGATGTATCCCAATCCAGATATGTATGTTTCATAGCAATTGTCTTCCTTTACTGTTGCTTGTTATCTCTGAAAACAGTGTGCGAAACTAACTTTTCTAAGCTATAGACAATTGGTCTACAATAATTTCAAATTCTATAGACCTGACAAATTATCTGTAGACCAAAAAATAAATTATAATAATGATATAGTTACATGCATACCGGTACTTTGTTTTATTGTATATTTTTTCAATGGCTTATTCATTTTTCCCTATACTGCAATATTTTATGCATTGACTTTAGACGCATGGACACATTTATAACCATTAATATTAAGCAATGATTCTAGCTGGGTTTTTTTTTTATACACTTTTAACATATTGAATTTTTCAGATGCAGGGAACATTAAAATTTCTTATAAGATTTCAATTCTTGCCAATGAATTCTTGACGTGTGAATAGTCTAAAAAAAGATATGTTTACTGTAAGATGTGTGTACTGTTTGAGGAAAAAAGTGACAGGTTCTTACGATTTTTTTTTTTTAATTTTTTTTAGCATATTTCTCAAAATGAAATGGATTTTTATGTACTAGTTAATCAATAGTAATGAAAATAAATATCACAGAATTTGATATAAATTATCTTGGCCTATCTTCCTAATCCCCTTTTGCAAAGATGCATGCCTTCAGATTATAGAGTGAACATTGATTTTTTTCATGGTAGAGAATTTTAAATGTCTCTAATTATATTATTTATATGTGATATAATTTAATCAAACCAACACCCATTCTTCGGTTTTCAGAGCCAGGAAATAATTTAATGGGATATTTAGATGTATTTACCATAAACAGAGGAATTGAGGAAATCCGGATTAGGAAAAATTGACGATCGTTTTTAGGAATAAATAAATCATGTAGTACTGCAAAATGGATCAGATAAACATGATAAAGGAGATTTACGACCAATAGAGCATTGAAGCTTAAGTTTTTCATTGGCTGAGAATTTTAAAGCAATAATTTGGGGAAATTCGTGATGATTTTTCCTTAGAACTTGCACGAAAAGTTGTATTGAGTAAAACGGCCGCATTTACTCTATAGACAAATCGGTCTTGAGGTATTGACCTCGCTGTAGACCGGACGCATTTTCTATAGATTTTGTCTATCGGTCTACCGTTAATTTCGCACACTGTGAAAATCAGGATTCACAAAAGGATTCTACGGAAATTAATTTTTAAAAATATGAGGTTTATTAAAAGAAAACAGAGGGATAATGCTGCATGGCAGTGTGTTAACATATTAAATTGACAAGGACAGTGATAAACATGTACAAACGAAGCATCGAATTTACTTTTTTATGTAGCTCAACTTGCCAAGTTGACAGTAGTGTATTTAGTCACATTTTTTCTTCTCAGTTTACAGTAATAAATAATATTTTTCTTCCCTAATTTTGGGCAACCAAGTTTTGCATTCGGACAAGTCTAAGTCTGAGATCACTTGCCCGAAGGACAAGTGAATCTAAAAGTTAATGTCTATCCCTGATATAGTGTCTTGAGTTGAATTACATTTTAGTTTTTAGTAGTATCTAGAAAAAGTTTGATCTCCCAATGGTTTTCTGCAAAAATAAAGATTAATTTTGTATTTGCTGACAATCTCTTGATTTTAGTTTCTGCTTTATATAATAGTCTGATGTTTATATCTAGGAACCTATATTCTTTCCAGGACAGCACAACTATGAAAGTAAATAACATGTGCTACAAATATGGACATATTCTTTACAAGCTGAATACTCCTGGTTTAATTAGGTCACTGAGCAAGAGGCTCAAATGGAGATTCTGATCAAAGTCCATCTGTTTTAGCATGTTTAAATATGGTTTAAAGGTACATAGTGCAAAGGGGAAAAAAAGCAGTACAGGGCTAATTTTCATATCAACATCCATTCTGAGGTGAAAATGACCTTATGTGTGTCTATATATTTTGTTGATTTTTGTAAAATCATTTTTTAATATAAGGTGGGGTAGATTTTCACTTAGATTCATCCAAATCATAGTTGCAATAGACATGTCCATATCGTATCCAACAATTTTTGTGATACTAGGTCTAAAATGTAATATCAATTTGCAAGCATCCTCATGTAGTCCATGCAGATTCAGATTTGTTTAAATATAACCCTTGGAGTAATGCTGGGGCCACAGTACTTTATTTAAGAAATGTAATTCCTGCGTCGGAGGAATTGTTGGAGAATATACCCCAATAGTTGAGAGATTTTGTTTGCAAATAAAAACCAAGCTGAGGGGTATATCTCTAACAATTCCAATGACAAGGGAATTATTTCTATTCTGCTACGACGAATCTTTATACTCCTATATAGAGAAACGGAGAAGTAGATGTCAACGTCATCATAAGTGCCTTATTATGTCACAGTTGAACGAGTTGAATGCTACTTTTTGTTCATTTGCACTTCAGGCATTAGACAAAGTATGAGGTAATCTGAATCCCACGTAAACTTTTTTCCCACTAATTTGCATCACAATCAAAGGAGGCCTCAGTCCTTTTCCTAGTACAAGCAGTAAAAATTAGAGGAAACTGGTTTAAAGTCATTGATAATTTGTTGATGAAGTCTATGATTTATTGGAGAATAATGGCTGTGGCATTTCTTTGATCTTTGCAATACCTGTACTGTCCTGTAGTAGAAAGGAAATATTGAAGAAAAACTAGGGTATCATTTTGTAATCTTGATATTAAGGATAAATTGATACTATAATGTACATGAGGTTTTTGATATTGTGAAATTTAATAGGGCCACTACAATGCACAATTAGGTTTTTTTTTCAGCTTTATACCTGCACTTTATAAGAAAAGTTTGGGTCCACTTTTTTTCTCAGAACTTGTTCCTCATTTTAAGATTCAGCTTTGTTGAGGTTGCAAATGTGTAATGAGGTTTTTGGGATTCCAAAAATGATTCAGATGTATAAAGTCCAATTTCTTTGTCAAAAAATCTTGATTATAATTAAGGTGTGAGCAGAAGTAAGCTATATATCATGTTAAAAACATTGAACATCATTAATTAATTGTGACTTGATGTATATATTGAAAATGTTGAAAATGGAAATGAACTGGTACAGTGAACCTTGTCTAGTCCTGATGTTGTGTACTCCGATATCTTGCCTAATCGGATACAAAACTTTAAGTCCATTTCAGTAAATTCATTTGTTTATAATGTTGTCTAATCTGAAATGTTGTCTAATCCAGCCAATGTCTAGGGAAGCAATGGTGTCCAGATTGGACAAATGTTGCTGTATATCCGTTTTTCATGTTTTGGTCTACAAGATGTGGGACAGCATTTTGAAATAAATTATTTGACTACAATATTGATTTGTAAACATTGTAGTTATTTATTTTATACTATGCTGTGTTATTAATGAGTTAAAATCAAATTAATTAATGAAACCTCATGGTACATTTTCCACTGTTTTATTGTTAGCATGCAAGTAAAGTGCTATTTCATTACCCATTCATTACCACTAAATATAAACTGGGCTGGTACATACATGTACATACACTATACTAAGTGATAAATTTTGTTATCAAGTGCTTGATGTAACAAGCAGTAATAAGACAATTAGTGTAAAAATAAAGATTGGTTGATCCCCTCATCACACTCATAGATAGTTGTTACCAAATGAGGAAAATTCTTAATTCTGTAGCCTTAACAAGCTTAATGCTCAAGATTATAAAATTCTTATATTTTTAATGAGCCTATGTGTACTCTTTTCTCTAATTGTTGTTGTTTTCAATGGATAGATATATGACACTTCTAGTAGTAGCTCCTTAAAATCAAGATTTCTGTATCACGAGGAAGGGTAACTCTCTGTGGAATATGACAGAAAGTGGTAAACTTTAAGAGAAATGAATGCATTTCTTGTAAATAATTAATAATAAATTAATAATGAGATGTATTATATTGGTTAAGTGGGTTTAAAGACAAATTGAAGATCTTTTAATTGACCTCACAATAAGGACAAACCATGGATTGTTATAACTCTCAGCCCTGACAGTAGGTCCTAGCTCTACATATTACTAATATTACTAATTTGTTGGGGAAAGAAATGTGAGACAGAACCAGGTGAACATTGTGGCCCATGGGCCTCTTGTAAATTAGAATTGGGTTCAAAATAAAAAGAATGAAAATAACGCTTTATGAAATTCATTAAAAAGGAAAAATTTAGTCTTATTATTATGTTTTTCACTCCTGCTGATCTTCATTGTATTTTTATTATTGTTAAGTAATGTATTAAGCCATTTTCTAGCTGATGGAAATTCAAATTGCATAGTTGCCCATCAAACTTTTTAAAAATCTTTGTTCTTGTATTTTTTAGAATGGTGGATCACAGTCGGGGGATGGAATCCTAGATATAGATAATGTAAGTAAAGTGTCATTTTTGTGTGCATGCAAAGGCAGCTGGATAGTATAGAGAATTTCATTGAAACCCCCCCTCCCCCCTTCCAACACCCTTAGACACACTTCACACACACACACTTTTCTTCCTGAGAATTAATTCTCAACAACCCAGCAAAATATGTTCAGGGTTCAAAATTAAATGTATTTTAAGGTGGCATCTAGCAAGTATTTCCACTCACCGGGTAATTTTGAACCCTTTTGTTAAGCCTTTAAAAATTGATTCCTATATAAATCTATACTAAAAAAAGTTTAACATTTCCAATGTTTTACTGAGCAGTCATAAAAACATAGGTAATCAAAGATTACGAAGCTCACCTCGACGAATGTTATCTATATGTAAGGCAAATTTCACATCATATTTTTTTTCTAGTTAGGGTACATCCCAAGATCAATATCCATGCAAGTTTGATTTAATTATAGACCTGCTCAAAAAACTTTTGACCTGTTTAGTAATCAAGAAAATTTTGGTCAGTTCCAACATCCAAAGCAAGTCTGGAAGTTTTCATCCTTAGATGCACCATCTATGCAAGTTTAATCATAACAGGCCATAATATTATATAGCTACTCCAAAAAATTACCCTGGTCACTCATCTGGAAAATGTACGTCAGATTCAGAATCCAAGGCAAGTCTGGAAGTGTCCATCCCTAGATACATCATCCATGCTAATTTGGTTAAAATATGGCTAAAATTCACTCGTGGAAAATCTAGGTCAGATCCAGCATTCGAAGCAGGTTGGTTAGTGTACATCCCTAGATGCATCATCCATGAAAGTTTGGTCCAGGTAGGGCTTATAGTTACTTGGGAACGAAACTACTCCTAAATCTAAACCTGGTCTCACATGTGGAAAATCAAGGTCAGATCCAGCATCCGAAGCAAGTGTGGTAGTGTTCATCCCTAGATGCATCATCCATGCAAGTTTGGTCAAGGTAGGGCTTATAGTTACTTAGGAATGGACCTGCTCCTAAAACTTTAACCTGGGACGCTGACACTAATGCCGACGCCGGGGGTATAGCATAAGCTCATCTCGACTTCGTTGAGGTGAGCTAAAATCAATGTTTGACCGCATAGTGAGATATTGGACCTGTGGATGAGATGTTGGACCGCTTACATCACACGGTGTTCGGGATCAGCTAAATCTTATTTGCATTCCTTGTTGTTCAACAGTGACGTAATTTACATCATGGAAGCCAGCAAAAGATACATGTATGTCAAAAACAAAAAATAAAAGTATAACAAAATATTTATTGACTGCGCTCTCGGGCAAAATGCGTTTTGTTGACCCCTCAAACCAAACTGTTTGCCTTCGGCTTAATGGCCTCAGACAAACAGTTTGGTTCTTTGGTCTGACAAAACGTTTGTTGCACTCAAACCCAGTCAATAAATGTATGTTGTTGCTTGATTTTGAAGGCATGCAATGGATTATTCGTACAAAAAATGTATTCCTCATAGGGTAATAGAGAAAAATATAATTTTCCATAAAAAAAGGTATATTGACTCGTATTTTTCATTCTTCATGCAAAAAATTAAATGACCGGAATTACATGCACTTAGGTGGTCCTACATGTTTGCCATATGTGCCCTTTTATCATGAATGTATTTTAGATTTTTGATGTTTCAGTGTTCCAGTTGACTGAAGGTTACTTTACAAAATTTATGGTTCAAGAGATAAGTGTATTTAAAAATCAGTAGTAGATCTTAAAAAAAAAAATTACTGGCCCAAAGCCAACAAGCCATCTTCTTAGGACCCCGCAAAGATTTGCAGGTGCCATAGTATAATTACTTTCTCTGTGTAGATGTGTTCATTGGTCTTTCAATCCTCAACAAATTTTCAGTTTTTTCCTTATGATTTTTTTGTGATTATCCTAGTAAGGGACTTTTGATCTAAATTTTGATTTTACTACATATGTGTCGTACATATTTTATGACATTGTGTCACATATGAGTGAATATCTAATGCTTTAGGTGACTTTTCACTCAACAAAGTATAGAAAAGTCTATGCTATATGTCTTTGGTGTTACATTGCTTTTTTTTTGAGCGTGTTCAGAGCTGAATTTCATAATTCCATAAAATGAATGTTTTGTTTCAAGGTTTAGCTAGAAATCAATTTGATGATTGTTTTTACAATTATAAATTGTACAAATATAAAGGCAGATCAACAATTGCTCAGTACAGTTACCTTTGAGGCTTACTCGCCTGAATACCAGACACCAGACCATTCAATATTGCCTTTATTAAACAATTAAAGAGAGGCCATTCATTGGGTTAGTGATTACAGGATTGAAATGGCAATGATATCGACGTCTAGATCTATAATTGATGGATGGTTTATTATCCTTGAAAATAACAGGGTCTTTTGTAACCTAAAGATCAGAAACATTGTATCTATTTATATACAGTGATATGACTAAAGTGCTGTTGTGTTCTGTTTCATAATAATTTTAAGATCATCATATTATAGTAACTCAAGATCATACAGTTCATGATATAGGCCCCTGGGCCTCTTATTTTCAAATTGAAATGAATAAAAAATGATGGACTATTACAGGGTAGTGGAGTTGGTCCCACCTTTACAGATGATGAAGATCTGGGGGATGAATCCTCAGGAGAAGGCTCAGGGTCTGGACTTGCTCCTACCAAAATCCCTCATGGTAAAGGAAAATTTAGCAAGTCTATTAATTTTAAGCTGAAAATTGGTGGCTATAATTGTCGACCAAAAGGAAAAAAAGTCAACAAATAAATAAATATCCAGATGTGTTTGTGAAAAGAAATGCCAAAAAGCATTGTAAACTAATGTAGACAAAACTAAGTGCTATTGAGATGTATACCTCATGCGGGCCACGTTGAAAACATGGCATGTTGGAGAAGTGGCATATAGGACCTAAATTATCATGAAACTTTTACACCTTTAAATTTCTGTGACCTTTTAGTGACGGTGTAAATTACACTTTCTTGAAAGTCTTGACACACTGTATTCATAAGCTTCCATTTTGAACAAACATGAATTCTCAATTTTGTTTACTTCAGGAGTTGTAAGCAATGTTAACGTTGTACCTGCAAAATACTTAAAAGTACAAATAATATCATTGAATTGTACTTAGGAAAATATTTAAATCTGCTTTACTGCTGTTCATTTTTTCTTTCAGAATTATTAGTTCATAAAATTTTAATGAGACATCATATACTTTTTGAATTTGTGAATCTTTCAACTTTCAGTACCTTTAATGAATAAACATTATCTCCAGATTTGTTCATAACCAAAATAACCAAATTCTGTAATTCATCTGGGGGAAAAAAACAACACATTTTGGAAGTACAGTAGTTGGGGCTCTTTAAGTATTTAGGGTTCAGCAAAATTTGTTTTTATGTACCAAAATAAGTTAGACATCAGTGTGTCCGGGTTTTGGATTTAAAAAAAAAGGAGACACTCTGGTTAACCTGGTGGTCAGTTTCAGCTAGCATTGTATTTTTAAATTTGATAACCACACAATTTTGGCATCTGTGGACAAAAGGCATAAGTTTTTTTTAAAAAAAAGTTTATGAGGCATTAAGAGCAATTTCTTCAATGGAATTCGATTAAATTCAGCAGTGATCCCGTGTGTGTATCTGAAGTTGAACCTTGGTTATACATAGAAGCCTTTTTTTTTACCCTTTGCTAACAATGTTAAGTTTATAGTTCTCAAATTGATTGAGATATTGAAACTTGTTTGTACTAAGATTTTATAAATAAATATACAAAAATGAATTAAATTTCAGATTTGTCAACAATTCTTCCAACCACAACTCGTTCCTTGACTGCATGTGAACAGCTCAGATTATCAGCAGAAAACATAACGACAGATGTCTATAGACCTAAGTGCACAGTGACTGGAGAGTATGAGCCTTTACAATGTCACAGAAGGATGTATAACAAAGAATGCTGGTGTGTGGACAGGTTTGGTGATGAAGTAACAGGCTCAAAGATGATGCAGCCAAATGTTCCAGATTGTATAACAGGTAAACTTGAAGGAACTTTGCAAAATTCCCAGAAATTAAAATTAGAACAGAAAAAGGGGACAATAGTTTGGAACTGATTAGAGATACAGTCAAACTGCTTTATTTCAAATATGTAGGGAACCAAGATTAAAAGAGAGATATCTAAGGATCCAACATATTAAGGGTAAAATACAGAGAAAAAAGTGGTTGGAACTGCCAACACACTTGATGATTTTGTGTTTGAGATAATGAAGTTTGTAAGCCAATAACAAAGTTTGTAAGTTTTTTAAAAAGTTTATTAATCCACCGTGATCATATAGATTTTAAATGATAGTTTCTGAAATCTATTCAGAATAGACCAATGCACTTGTTATAGCACAAGTCTTTAGGCCAAATAAAAAAATATGTGTGGTTCCGGTTACCTGACCTTCCCTATTTTATACCCCCAACCCTAAACTTTTTTTTGGCAATTTTCATATTTTTTCCGGAATTTCCCCCGATTTCCATCAATGGCTCCAGTTTAAGTTTTAGTTTCAGCAATGACGGCCTCCTTGACAGGGTTGGCAAAAAACTGGGAAATACTCATATTTCCCAGGACAGTGGGAAATACTGGTAATTACTGGTAGTTCCCGGGAAATACTGGGAAATAAGAAATAGCTACACATTTCATTCATATTGACTTGTAGTACACCTTATTGGCTTAGATATCGTACTGGTATCACTGTCCCTGGGTTTAAAAAATTCTGGTCTCCAAGTAATTCATTTTATGAAATCATAACACAGCATATTCATATACCAGTCATGAATGTCATTTGTTTCATGCTTGAGTCAGATGTAGTCTACAAAGGTCCATGAAACGAACCCAAAGATCCCAATTGGGTTTTTTTATGTAACTAAAGAAGGATCTAAGAAAATTCTTCAATAGACTAGAGTATGGTATAAATATCAAACCTAAGAAGAAGCCTTTCAGTTCTACTCATTCACAAGGTAATTATCTCTCAAAACAGGGGCACAAAACTGCAGTCCAGAGCAATTTGTTAAAACAACATGATTGTTTCTAATAATTACAGTGTTTATAGAAGGATTAAACCAATTTTTTTTTGTTCTTGGATTTGTAATTAATAAACTTAATAATTTTACAAAACTGAAAAGAAACTTGATTTTGAAAAGTTTAGTTTTATACAGCCAGGGAAATGCTTCAGAGTGCATATGGGTATGAGACCTGGAGCAGTGATACATTCTGAATATGTTAAATTGCAATTTAAGACATATTCCATATTATTCATCTCCTATTTCTATGTTTATTTTATTTTTGAATTTTGTATAAGATTGAATGAATTGAAGAAATAAAAAACTTTAACTTTGTATTTCCCAGTATTTCCCACTTTAGAGAAAATTTGTAGTATTTCCCGGATGGGAAATACCTGTATTTACCACTTGTATTTCCCAGCCAACCCTGCTCCTTGCAAAACATAGTGCAAGTGTTTAATAGTGTTAAATCCAAAGCAAGCTAGCATGTAGGTGTCCCCTACCAATATTGACTAGTATATTATCACACCACATCTAAATGCCATTTGCAAAGCAGTGATAGGTATTATTTAGAAAAAATCAAGAAAATCATTTTGTAAAAAAAAAAAAAAAAAAAAAAAAAATCCCTACCTACCCTAATTTTTTTGGAAGTGTAAGCGGAACCACACATTTTTTTGTTTGGCCTTAAGATCCATCATAAATATTTAAGGGAAAAATTAGAGTCCAAAGTGTAGTCCAAAGAGTATTCCAAAAGAGAGATCTGTTTTCCGGCAAAACAGGGTATTTCGTGCTCAGGGGGTATTCATGGTCCCAGATATAAAAGTACTTTTCATTGTCTGTCTTACCATTGCCATGCCACCTACACGTGGTCTGTAGATCTGTCCATTGACTTATGAACCCCAACCTGGCACCACCTCCAATCAAGGTAGACTTACATTAGTATTATTTATGGGCTCAGTCCCCATCTCTGCACCACAGGAGTTCTAGCCCTAAGCTCATTTACTTATCTGCTTCAAAGTTCCCAATTTTATTGCTCTTAGTCAAGAATCTTAATAGTAACTTTGCATTTCCGTTCAAATTTTATTACTTAGTATCCATGGACTTGATTGGTCTATTCTGATCAATTTCATTACAAAATGATTAACAAAATTATAGTTCATTGTATCAACATCAAAATCCAATTTGTTCTAACAAGATAATTATAGTTTATGGAATTAAAGTTTCTTTTCCAATTATAAAGTCACTGCATGTGGTATACTAATAATGTACATCCTTGTTAAATAAACTTTTTTCTTTTACTGTCACTATTAAGTTCACTATTAATAACTAAAATGATTATGTTATGAATATATTCCAAGTTTAAAATATTCAAATAAAATGTCCATGCTAAACCCTATAGGTTTACAAGTTCAACTGTATTTGGAAATCCTAGAAATTTGATTCTTGTATCATGCTATATCATAAAAGAATTTGAATTCAAAATTTCAATCATACCTATGATTATTAACTTTGAAGTTATGAACAGAAACTCAGGATTTATAATTTACAGCTCCTGATGATGTAATCTTACAAAACATTTCAAATTTTGTACTGTTTTACCTCTCTACTAAATCCATCCTATACTCAGTCTTAAGATTTTTTCTTAAGCATGTTAAGTCGGAGGGCTTGATGATCTTACGACTTCGTCTTTTGTCAATCATGATTTTTTTCAAATTTGTAAATGCATTTTCTTGTGTATTTACAAAACATGGCTTGTAAAAGACCCAGACCCAACTACAGTTTAAAGAGTACTACTTGACTATCGGTATATAGAGATCTACCCATCCGCCAACCCTCCTTTTGATATATAAGACAGCCAATGAATAAACCTTTAGAAGATTTTTAGGAGTCATTGATTGATACAATCCTACAATATCATGGGCAACCTAAAGAGAACCTGTTTATATTTCAGTATCTTACTTATAAACAGAGATATTTAGGTACAAATTTTGGCAGTTTCAAAATTTAGTGCATGTATAGGTCATGGACTTATGACTAGTAAGATTTGTGTAACAGTGAATTAGCACTGTTGGTGTTTATGTTCGTTTTACATAATAAATTCAAAGTTACCCTTTTAGCGAGGTGGATCCAGTTTTTTGCACAGAAGGGGGTTTAATGAGTACTGAAGGCATGATCTGTCTAGGACACAAACTTTGACATGTTTGTAGAGTCTGCAGAATTTTCATATACTAATCTTGTAACTGCAGGAAATGAAATATTTGTGTATATATCTAAAGGCTTTGGCCTCCACTTAAAGATATACGTTTTTTTGTAGGAAAAGGTCTAAAGCCTTGTGTTTTCCAGTTGCTAAAAAAGAAGCAAGGTCTTTTGGGAGTTTATCATCCACGATGCACCATAGATGGAGAATTTGAGAAGATTCAGTGCCATGGATCTGCTTGTTGGTGTGTGGATGTAAATGGTCTTGAACGACGGGAAACTAGAGTATTTCAGCCAGAAGTTCCTAACTGTATAGGTACATCTGCAGCAGATTTAAACTGCTTTCATCTATCCTTGTTTATTGATTTTTTTGTCAGCTGCAAATTATTGAATTCTTAGATGCATCAAGCAACTTGATTGCTTGAAAAAGTACACCAGCACTTTTTTCTGAACAACATTATTTAATGTGGTGCTATGCCCTCTTGTTAACATTTTAATGATGTTTGGTTTGAAATTCAATATGTGTATTCAATATTTCAAGTTTGATTTGAGAGCAAGAAATACTAAGCTTGTTACTGAGAAAAGTTTTTGTCAATTAATGAGTAATTAGAGTTTTAGAGCATGTTATATGATATGGGTAGTACTTTTGCAGAATTTTGGCTACATGAAATACCCTTATGATAAATGCAGGGTTCGACACTAACTTTTTAAGGCTTTAGTCCAACCGGACTTGTGCTTCATTACTTTTACTAGTCCGCGCGCGATTTTATTAGTCCGTCAAAAAAAAAAAAAGGGAAAAAAAAAGAAACATCAATATTTTTTAAGATTTATTAAACGTGACAATTAATACATGTATACTTATTGTTTTTTGAAATAAACAAAGTATTTACGTGAAATATATTATTCCACAGATTCATTGAAATCTCCCAATCAGCAAGTACGATTGTATTCCGATCTCGTTTTTTTTTCTTTGTCTTTACATTACATCCAAAACGTCCAACATCTTTCTTAAAAGTGTCATACTATATCATGATCGCTAAAACCTTATACTTCATATCGATCAGTCGAAAAATTAAGCGCTGAATTGACCCGGCATTGCGTAACTACCCGCCAAAAGCTAGAAATCTAAAAATTCACGCGGGGTTTTCCAGTAAAAGTTGTCGAGAATCGGACATCGGTAATTTATTCATATTGTTTTAGAAATTTTTATTGGTCCGTTCGGACTAATTAGCCACATATTTTATTAGTCCGAATGAAAATGTATTAGTCTGAGACTAAGAGACTAACGTTAGTGTCGAACCCTGTAAATGTTTGTTTAATAATAATATTGATAGCTGAAGAAATACACATATACACTTATCACAATATCATGCATTACATGAGATGTTTGTAAAAAAGATTTCATTATTTATATAAAACAAAAGACTTTAAATGGTCAGATTTATAAACACTGTTCAGACAGATAAGTGATAGATGCTGGACAACAGTACTATTGAGTTGTACAGATTCTGTTTTACATGCTACTGATCAAAATTATTTCTGTAAACTGGGTCTGCCAATGGACATGCAATGTTTTGATGGTGTATCTTTATCAAGCCAGAGGTAACAATATTGGCAATGCCTCAACTGTATTTTAATTAACATTATTTCCCTTTCTCTCATGCAGTTTGAGATTTTAAATTGTGTTATTATCCAGAGCACAGATTCGACTAAAAAGAAACAAAAGTACATATGTTTTTCAAGTTTTTTTTCTCTATTGAAATATGTGCAAGGTTACAGACCCCAACACTTTTAATTACCTTTTTATTCAGTTTTTTTAGCTCACTTGAGTCTTTGGGTCAAGTGAGCTTTTCAGATCAAAATTTGTACATTGTCTATCATCATATTTGTTGTCGTTGAGTAAATCTTTCACATATTTATTTTCTTCTCCAGAACCACTGGACCAATTCAAATTTGTTCAAATTAAGGACCACACCTCTTCTTAAAAACCATTGGGCCAGAAAAGTTGAAATTTACTTAGTAGTTTAGATTCAAGTTTCAAATCATGACCCACAGGGTTAGGATGGGGTCACGACAGGGGATCAAGGTTGTACATAGGAATATATAGGAAATGTCTTTAAAAATCATTTTCTGATGACCAGCAATCGCACAATTAGTCATATTAATACAGAAGCATCCTCAGGTAGTGTTGATTCAAATTTGTTCAAATCATGACCGCCAGGGGTAGGGTGAGGCCACATTACGCAATCAAAGTTTTACATGGAAGTATATACCAGGAAAAAATCTTCTTCTCATGAAAAGCAGAGCCATGAGATATTAATACCCCAATAGGGGTAGGACGAGACCACTAATATATTTAAACTTTTCAGTACTGAACTGATTTTGACTGTGCTCAGATCAGCGGTGTGGCCCATGGGCCTCTTGTTCATTGTGCCATGCAGTGGAATGCCATTGAAGCATTTCAGGTGAACTTTTATTCTTGACATTGTAGAAACTACAAAAGCAACCATGCCATCATCAACTACAACATCCCCCAAAACAGAAAATCCCACACCAGAACCAGTGCCTCTAACAGAAAAGCCAGAAGTCAAAGAAAAGTCAGATAACAAAGACATTCATAAAGTAGGCAAAAGTAATCTTTTCAAGCAGTAAGGCTGTTACATTTCAGATATGTGTGTCGAAAGTGAATGCCTTGAATTGCCAAATTTAAAACATTCACACTTTGACACATTTACTGAGATCATGATTGATTTCATGTTTGTGAAGAAAGTTTTTTTTAATCTCCTTTTTACATGTGTAGGTAGCTCTTTAAGCTTACAGTGTGAAAAAAACCCATCTGGATTTTTTCTTGAATCACAGGATTCAAATAAAATTAAGCTAATTGAAAGGAGGATATGAAGAAGTAATGATAACAGAATATGATCATTGAATGGTTCTGTTCTGTCTTGAAGTGTTTAGCAGCAATATACCTTTTGCCCTTAAAAAGTTGAAATGTCATGAAATGAATGTGAGATATATAGAATATACATGTATGTTTTATGTTACAGTACACACCAAATATAGGAGAAGATGAGAAAAATGAGGATCGAAATATCATCATTCCTGGCATAAGTAAGTCCGTAAAAAAATAAAAGGCAGATATGGTGTTTAATTTTGTGCACAATAGATGTTGTCATCATCTGCTACATTTAAAGAACTTGAGCCTTGAACAATGATGGTTTGCCTCATTTAAAGGACTTATCGCATGTTTCTAAATTATTTGAAATTAAAAGCGTAAAACGTTCATTATGACAAAAGTTTATTAATTTTGTGTTTTTATTGCGATAAACCACGGTAATTAATCAATTATTGACTCAAATGAAAACCCCTGATTTAAAAATCTAAGTTAATTAGATAGCGATCACGTGACCCTGTGTCATCAAAGTTGACAATGGCTGATCATCTCTTCACATTAATCTTACGAAAATATACGCGATACAACCTGAATTTTCTGTGTTTTGGACGACCAAATCGCTTATTTTATTGATATGAAATTGAATATCCAACCTTATATGTTAGAAAATCTGTTAACATTGTAAATATAGCAGCGACGATAGCGAGGGATACTCGGCGAAGATGAAGAAACTCGCTGTCAGAATACAATTTGATTTGTCATCTCATCACATGTATTTACATATTTGATTCACAAATTTAACATAATATAACTTTGTTGTTCTTCGTTTTTAACATAATATTAATTTATGCAAGTCTTCATGTGTTTTTTAAAGGATGGCGATCTTGAAAAATAATTTCCCGATCACGAAATATTGCCGTAATCAGAGCTACAGATTCTAAATGTTTGGAATAAAAAAACGAAAATATCTAATAAGCCTTATACTTCAGAACTAGTTAATGTTTCTATAGTAATTGAAAAGCACGTTAGGAATTAATTTTTTCACAATTTTTCGTAATTAAGCTGCATTTGTCGTTGATAACTCCGTAAATAGTGTGTATATTCTCTTTTCTCTGTCACTGAATTGTCGCCTATGACGTCAGAGCAGTATTTCGCCGAAATCCGACTGAAATATGCATATTGCTGTATTTGAATTTCAACTCCCAATATCTCTTAAAATATGCTTTCAACAACGTTTATTGGATTCAGTATTTTAATAAATCAGATAATATTTTTCATAAAATTACGATTTTTGAAAAATCATGCGATAAGTCCTTTAATACCTCATTTTGTTTGCTGATACATGTACATGTATGTTTTAAATTATGAATCTCTGAATGTCTTTTAAAATTTTCATCTTGTTCGTAAGTTTTGTATGATGTAAGATTGAAACTCTATATTTGGTTGAGTTGACAATCAAAGTCCTAGCTTTTTAGTAAGATCAAAGTCTTGGACTTCATCATAATTTGGCCAGTTGCATTTCAAAAACATCTTTCGTGTGAAATATTCCTAAATTCTGGAGAGTAAACTTTTGATTTTATGAATTAAATCTACTGCATTTCTATCACCAGAATTAAAATGAACTTGCATTGTTCTTGTTTAGATGGGGTGGCAAAGCCTGTTGATCCCAATATGAATAATAGACATGACATAGACAAGGAAGAAACTGACCAGGGTAGGGCAGAGAGTCAGGAATCTTCTCCTATTGTTTACATTATGGCTAGACCAGGATTACTAGCAGGTATGACATTTTTTTGCATTGAAAACTTATGTTGAACTAGATGACGGAGCTAGATTTTGACAATCATGTGAAAGAAAAGTGGTATCATGAATTTCAGGATTTTCATTACACTTGCACTTCTTAGTAGAGCAGCAATCTAAATATGGACCAGAGATTGAATTTAAGGGAAGAATTAAAGAATTTCTGTAGCTTTAAGGCCGAAGCCTCTTGGAGCACATGTAATGGCTTTCCAAGAAAGTTTACTGGACCCCATGTGTCAAATGTTGAGAACAGGATATGGCAATCAATGTCACATAAGAAAAAAAAACCCTGATTGGAGTGTGGAAATATACCATGTACATGCATGCTTACAAACATTGACTGGATGTCTATTAAAAGCATAGAAACACTAGATTCTTCAGCATAAAGCAAAGATTGTTCATGTTCCTAGGGTCTTTCACTAGCATGAAGCAGGGATGTTTGTGATAGGTCAAAGTCATCACAGATAAAAGTACTAGGTATTAGATTATTTTCATCAGAGATGCAGACTTGTAAAAAAAACATTGCTACTGTCGGCAAGGCCGTTAAAAAAATTTGTCTGGACTGATAATTTTCAAAAAAACTTATGTCTCTGATTAAAGACTCTATATCCTAAGAAAAGAAACTTGTGAGATTGAAGGCTGTTGAAAATAAAAAAAGGGCATTTTGGTGCAGTTATTTATTTTCCTTTCTCAGTGTCAAAATAACTACTGTATTTATAAGGTACATGTATTTGGTCTGACAAAACTTCGTCCGGTCCAGTAGAACATTTGACTTTGTCAGACTTTGTCTGACAGTGATTTCAAAATTTTGACAAGTCTGAGGTGTTGAGCAAACTGTACAGTTTGTGGGTGTTGTGATATTTTTTGTTGCAGATGAGTGGGGATAGGAATTTTCCAGTACAGGGAGAGATTTTTTTTTAATGATAGATCTTGTTTCTTTGATTGCAGCTGTCATTGGTGGAGCAGTGGTGGCACTGTTGTTGACCATTTTGCTTGTGATGTTCATTGTTTATCGTATGAGGAAGAAGGATGAAGGTAGCTACCCACTGGATGAGCAGAAATACACAAATTATTCATATATGAAAGCACCCGATAAAGAATTCTATGCATGATGAGATGAAAAGATCAACACAAATTCATTCTGTCTGAGCATGATATTTTTAACTGTGTCTTTAACTTTCATGCCAAAAAAGTATTTTCAGTTTGTATTCCAGTTTGCACGTATGGACCAAATAATGCAGCGATAACTGTGCTCTGTAAAATGAATAGCGAATATTATTTTCTAGTAAATGTGCGAGTTTTGTATCATTACTAAAGAGTACCTTTGTTATAAAGCAGCTATGATTTTGAGCCATGTACATAATGCAAAGATTGACTGCACAAATCCAACACTCAGTCCATCTTCATGTTTGCATTGTTAAATTTGATGTATATGTATTCAAAGAAAGTTCTTTTGAATATGTATTCAGAGAAGGTGACAAACTACAATGTATTTCTTTTTTACAATCAGGTTTCTAATTTTGCCTGTCAGGTTTTCATACTGTCCATGTTTCTGCTTTGATTGTTGATTATCCAAAGACTATTATTACTCTTATGTTTTTCTACTTAATATTACAAGTAATAAGAAAAAGAAGTGCCTAATTTGCTGGATAAATGTCACTCATTTTTGAAACATTAGGGTAGTACCCAATAGTTGTATTTTCGGTTAACGTCTGGCAAACGTTGAGTATAAAAACTGCTTTTTTCTTTTAATTGTTGTATTATAAAGTGATTGCTTTTATATTTTGTTCAATCAATTAAATGAAAAATTCAGGCATAGTGCTGTTAGTGTCATATTAAATATCATATTTTAAAAAAATGATGAAAAAAGGTGACTGTTGTTAAAACTAAGACATAAGAGACCAACTGCTTTATTATGATGCAGCATATATCAAGCTGTTTCACTGGTGAGTGTCAGCTGTAATTTTTTTTCAATAAACTGTATGCAAGGTAAACCCTTAACTAAGAACTTGGTTGTTATGCCCAGTGTGGCTACTATACAGTATGGGTTGTTAAAGGAATTGTTACGTGTGTACATTAACAGGTACTGGAATTCCACCTAAGTATGTTGTGTTTCTAAAGTCAACATATTTGGAGACTTCTTTGCACATTTGCTTTCATTCTCTCAGAATGCTTTCCATGGTGCAACGTTAAAATGTTGTGAAAATGTATTTTTCAGTACCCCCTAGTAACCTGAAGGACCTCATTTCACTGTAAATAAAGCTTATCCCACCGCACCTGTATTTATTTATTTTTTCTTTTACAGTTAGAATTAAATTTTTAAAAATGTAAGAAAATCACTAAATTGTGATGTTAACTCTTACAAGAGGCCAGTAGAGTGCACACTGGTTGCTAGTGGGTTACTGTTTGATTTTTTTTCCCAAAATATTTTATTTTATTTTCAGATACTGTTATTTTTTTCCCACAAAAAAAAATATTTTACTGTTTTATTGATTTACATAAATTTATTTTCAAATACTGTTGTTTTTTTTTTAAGAAAAAAAATTGATTGGTGACTTTTTTAACTGTTTGTTTTGGTTTGTGATCAGATGTGTCTTTTTTGTGTGTAATTATGCCTAATTGTGATGTAAATAAGAATAAATATTAATTTTACTAATATCTCAAGTAGTTTTAGGATCATATTTTCTGGAAACTTTCTTTGACTTTTTGATGTTTAAACATGGGCCACTTAGGACTAACCTGTCTGTATATGTTAAGATAAAGTTTTAGACACTCTTGCATGGACTATACAGAATTTAATATCTGTATTAAAGTAGTAGTGGTGGCATTCAATCATTTTTGGATCCCAGAGCGATTAAGGAAACAAAATTTTCAATGCTGGGACATATGTGCTTCATAACAATGTCATGATATTTTATATGTATGGATTGTAATCTACCATGTTAAAAAAGGAAAATTTGCATAATCATGTATTCATTTTCATTTTTAAGTCTTGTGGATCTGATGTATAAGTTAAAGTCACAGGCCATGTTTTGTATTTGTCATGTTTTCATGTCTAGATATTGCAAGATGTTGGACAATTTTTTAAATACATTTGTTCTCCCTTGGCTAAGAGACAGGCAATGTGTTTTTTTTAATTATGTCCATTTCAAATATGCAGGTAAACTTTTTTTCTCAAATTTTTTTTGCAAATCAGGTAGGTTTATTTGTAGGTCATGCAATATACACCGTATCATATGGCTGTGAAGGACATTCTTAGGTGATAAAGTTTTTGAAGAAAAATAACATAAATCTGTTGATGTCAGGAAAAACAAACTTTCAGGAAAAAATGGGGATGTGAATTCACTCAGACTTTAAAATTTCTGCCAATAGATGATCTCTTTAACATATTTTATGAAATCAGTTCAAATTTAAAATTTTTATATTTTACTAATGATATTTTTTTTTCCAAAGCGGAAGTTTATGTCTAAAGAAGTTTTAGCTGATCAATGTGTTTTTATTTGTAAGACAGCAATTTAGATCGTTTAACAGATGCATTTACTTCATGAAATTTTCAATATCATCATACATGTATTTGTTTCCATCAATATTCATTTATGATTTCATAAGATTTTCAAGAGAGAGACTGTTTAGAAATACATGTACTTATAAGCATAAGAACAACGTGGGTGGGGAAAAATGTTTTTCATCCAATAAAAAAAGATGTTTTTTAACATATTTTTAAAAGCATAGCTTTCAATAAATGTCCAAGAGAAAGCTGATTTTTTTTCCCATGGGAATTATTTTTTTTTATTGTTTTTTTTTGACAAAGCGTGACACAAAAAAATTAAATAAATTTTACCAGAATTCTTATTGTGCTATATATTATTAAAAAAAACAAAACATAACTTAGTTTCTTTTCTCTGACTTTCTGTTCTGTCTTGTTAAGGGCAACTAAAAACTTATTTTCTTTTTGTAAAATTTAGAAAAAATCAAAACATTTAAATACTTGATAGTTGTTAAATTATTTTCATGCTTTCCTTTTTTTTAGTTTTATTCTTTTATACATCAGTATATTTATGTGTCACATTTTAGATTTCAGACCTACATATTGATCAATAAAATAAAATTTGTATTTAAACACTGTTGGCTTTCTTTGTTTTAAGGAGGAGAGGGTACAAAATAAATTAACGGGATGTTCTAGAATACGGATACACATGTAGGTCATATATCTACAGTTTTTTTAGCTCACCTCAAGGAAGTTGGGGGAGCTTATGTAATACCCTCGGCGTCCCAGGTTAAGGTTTTTGGAGCAGTTTTCTTTTCAAGTACTTCTATGGCCTATCTTAGTCAGAGATGCATGGAGGATGCTTCTAATGTGTTTCATTGTACCAGTCAAGGTTTCAGATGCTGCAATTTCAGCTAAAGAATGACCAGGTTAATGTTTTTGGAGCTGGTCTCATTTCCAAGTAACTATAGGCCCTATGACCAAACTTGCATGGATGATACATCTAAGGATGCACACTACTGAACTTGCTTCGGATGCCGGATCTGACCTACATTTTCCGGATAAGTGACTAGGTTAAAGGTTTTAGAGTAGATTTCATTTCCAAGTAACTATAAGCCCTATATTGACCAAACTTGCATGGATGATACATCTAAGGATGCACACTACTGGACTTGCTTCGGATGCAGGTTAAAGTTTTTGGAGCACATCTCATTTCCAAGTAACTATAAGCCCTATATTGACCAAACTTGCATGCACGATATATCTAAGGATGCACACTACTGGACTTGCTTCGGATGCTGGATCTGACCTATATTTTCTGGATGAGTGACCAGGTTAAAGTTTTTGGAGCAGTTCTCATTTCCAAGTAACTATGAGCCCTATATTGACCAAACTTGCATGGATGATACATCTAAGGATGCACACTACTGGACTTGCTTCGGATGCTGGATCTGACCTATATTTTCTGGATGAGTAACCAGGTTAAAGTTTTTGGAGCAGATGTCATTTCCAAGTATCTATAAATCCTATATTGACCAAACTTGCATGGATGATACATCTAAGGATGCACACTACTGGACTTGCTTCGGATGCTGGATCTGATCTACATTTTCAGGATGAGTAACCAGGTCAAAGTTTTTGGAGTAGATCTCATTTCCAAGTAACTATAAGCTCTATATTGACTAAACTTGCATGGATGATACATCTAAGGATGCACACTACTGGACTTGCTTCGGATGCTGGATTTGACTCACATTTTCTGGATGAGTGACTAGTTTTAAGTTTTCAGATAAGTCTATTCCCAAGTAACTGCAAGCCCTATCAGGCCAAAATTGCATAAATGTTGCATCTAGGGATGCACACTCCTAGATTATTAGTTTAATGTGGGACTTTGCCTTACTTAAAGTCAACATTCGTTGAGGTGAGCTCTGTAATCTCTGATTACCTATGTTTGTATAATATTTTGGTCGTATGTATGTCTCCATCACTACATTTAGAAGGACCAACACCAATTTTTGATTTTCAAAAAAATTGTCTTAAGATAGTTGTAGCAGAAAGATTAAGATGTAACTCCTGTCGTTTAAAATTTTATGAGGAATTAGGGTGGGATCTTTCACAAACAAGGAGGAAAATTCATGCTAATTTCAGCAAATATGCTGAATATTTGTTAAAGTTTTAAAACCTTATCGCCCATCAAATCATTCTTACAATATCAGAACCAATGATACTCAATCCTGTCTCGAAAGTTTTCTTTCTTAGCAATATTTTGCCATATTATATCAAAAATGCTTCTGGAATATTTCCATTCAAGAATCTTTTTAATTCTTATTTCTGTATTTAAAATAATAAAAAAAAAGTAATGAATTTATGGAAAGCCCTTCCCGATATTTTTAATCTGATGTTTTCAGCTGTGAAATGAAAAAGGAGAGATAACGAATAGTGATCGATCTAAAACAAATTACAAACAACACAAATCTGTGAACAGGGTATAAAACATGGATCCCCGGAAATTCCAGAGGTGGGATCAGGTGCCTAGGAGGAGTAAGCATCCCCTGCTGTCGACCTATCAACCCCGCCCTGAGCTCTATGTATTGATCAGGTAAACGGAATATTCCATAGACAAATTTAGTATAAAAACGAAGGCCTAACAATTGGTATGAAACATGAAAGTCAAAATACGACCCAATAATAGGTTATATTATAACCATATAATTTACGAGATGCTGACTTTAAACGGTTGTTGAAATCCCTATACCATCAACTTTAATATCTGCCAGTAGCCTGCCTCGGTTTAAAAATTGATTGTACTCAGAGCATATCGAATAAAATGGTATCGAGTATCGAATAAAATTGGAAACGTTAAACGCCATATGCAGGTGATAGCGGAATATTACTACATAAATAAAAGTTGACGATGGAAAAGCTGGTAATCTCGTCTTTCATACAATTTTAAAAGTTCTTAGTTGGCCCTTATCGTCTATAGTCAGGAAAACATCCAAATATGAGAAACAGATATGGAAGTTCACTGAGTTCACTGGGATATATCGAGTCGACTATGAATGGAAGTAACTCTTGTTAATTGATAAAACGTCGTCGATATATCTGAATGTGGACTTAAAGGTACGTCACAGCAAGTGGTTTCTTCTTCTCATGTTTTGAAATGAAATATGGAGATAACAAACAGTATTCAAGCTCATAAGTCCATTCAAAAAATACAAATCAGGAGCAGATCAAACATGGACCTCTCAAAAACATCAGAGTTGGGATCAGGTGCCATGGAGGAGTGAGCATCCCCTGTCGTCCGGTCACACCTGCTGTGTGCTCCGGGGAAAAAAACGAAAAAATCCGTTGACAATTCAGTGTGTAAATAATGGCCTAACAATTAACATGAAAAAAATCAGTCAGCATTTGACTTAATGATAGATTGTATTTGCTGACAAGGTCATTGTATCGACCATAAAACTTGCGAAATGATGACTTTAAACGAGACTGTTGATATTCGTGTTTCATCAATTTGTTTGTCAATAGCTTGCCTCGTTTTAGAAATTGTTCATACGTAGATCTAGAGCATGCTCTTGCGTATCGAATCAACTGAGAGACATTAACCCCATATGCAGGTGATAAGGGAAGTTGATTATTGAAAAGTTGAAGTCATCACGTTTATCATAAAGCTTTGTTGTTAGGTTACCATTAACGTCCAAATATGAAACAGATGTGTCAGACTTTGTGGTATCTTTTATTTCAAGCTCACTGCATACTGAGTCGACATATGATTGGAAGTAACTATTGTTAATTGATAATACGTCGTCGATATATATCCAAATGTCGAGTTGAAGGCCACAGCAAGTGTTTTCTTCATCTCATGTATAAGATTTTGAATAAATTCTGCTTTATATAAATACAAAAATAGGTCTGCTTATAATGAGGCCCATTTGGTATCCATGGAAATTCCGACAGATTGTTGGAAGACCTTATCTTCAAAAACTACATAGATATTGTCAATCAGAATTAAACTCAAGCATTTTTTAAAATATCAACATCAGAGTACTTGTGTACAATCAGAGTGTTTTTAACAAAGTAATTTTGCAAATGACCAATGACAAGGTAAGTAAATTTACGAGTTCCATTTTTATTGAAAAAGCAGCCATTAATGATGTCAACAAGCCTCGACTTTAATTTATCGTGGGGAATGGTTGTATGAAGAGTTGAAAAGTCGTTATGATGTTATTGATATCGGTAAAATTTTGTGATTTCAAACTTTCTAAAAGTTCCTTGGAATTTTTGAGTATCCATATCCGATTTAAACCACTTCTCGAATATATTGTTGTAAGGTACTCCTGAAGTTTCTCCTTCACGTCAGTTAATATTTTAGTGAAGAGTAAAGAGAAAGGCTTGGTAGAACATTTACTGGAACCCAATATATTTCTATGTAAGGATTTTTATGAAGTTTAGGAATCCAGTATAGGTACTCAGTATTTTAATTTAAATTCATTTTGATTGTTTGGAATATTAAAAATATTTAAAACTGACATATGATTTTGAAGAATTTCCACGTTAGAAAGGGAACTATGGGTACGAGTTGGATTACCACTCGCAGAATTAAATCCCAATTCCTCTAAAATACAATTGAAATAAGAAGCCTTACAAACAGCGACAATGTTGTTACCCGCTTTGTCAGCTAGGACCAGTACATACTGATCGTGTAATGTATCTAATTGTTTTTTCACTTCTGAATTATTGAACACAGAAGGATAGATGGTTTTCATATCGCCCCCTCAATCGCTTAATGCGAGATTTTAACATCCATCTGATACTTTTAATCCGTTCTGACAAAGTGTCAAAATCTTCTTTTTCAGTTTTGGCCCATCGCCTGGCGTAATCTTCCTCAGAATTCATAATAATTATAAAACGATGACGCCAGTTGAAAGATCGGGGTTCCCTAAATTCTGGTCCTCATTATTAACTATATTTACGTCATCAGTAATGACGTATCCAGCAGGACTATAGTTGTAGGGTGAAGAAGAACCTGAACACATTGGAGGATTATGTTTCAGATGTTCGATATCAAGGTCCTGTAGAGTTTTCTTATAATATAAGTTTGGAAGCAATAGTCAATGTATATTTGTAAGAAATACAAGGTATAGACTTCAACTTGAAATATGGTGGAATACAAGACTGGATTCTTTTGTGAATAAGAATATTACTTATACTAACTTCGTCAATTACTTTGTTGGCATATATTGATACATTTTGTTTCACAGGAATATCGAAAAGGTCGGTTAATAAAGGAACATTATTAGTTCCCAATGAAATTCCAAAAGTTTGTTGGAAGAAGTGGTCTCCGAAGACTACATAGATGTTATCAATGGGGAAGTCCAGCATCCTTTTAATATCAACTTCAAAGTACTTGGGTGTAGAATCAGAGTGATTTTTAACAAAGTAATTTTGTTAATGAACAATCACAATATGCAAAAATATCCGACTTCCATCTTTATTGAAGAAGCAGATTCAGTCATTCTACAAAAACATGACCAATTAAGGA